AAGCTGACAGAAGTGAAGTAGTTAATTCTTTCTTCTGTCTTCTTTAGAAGAACCATCTGATATGATGCATAACCCAGTTAGCTGTTAACTCTTCTGCATCTGTTTGGGATAATTGATGAAGGTTAAATGCAACTGAAAAGGGTTTTTGTATAATTGTATTTCACATCATGAGTGATTTGAAACTGTGAATGAAACTTATTTTCCAGAAAAATTAGAATAAATGTTTTATTTATAAACATCTGCAAGATAACAGAATGATGGTAAGGGCCATTAGAAATTTCTCCATACTATTTTATCACAGTTATTTCTGTGTCCTGATTAAGGGTCCAGGGGACTAAGGACAGTCTGGTTTAAAGGACATGACTGCAAGAATAGGATGCAATGGATTGGAAAAGTGAGCAGGAAGATGCAGGTAGAAGCCATAATAATGGGTAATGTTGCCTACGCATCTATTTTGGCTCTGGAGAGAGTTAAAATTTTCCAACAGCGACTTCAAGGACTGAATAATAGAGAACAAATTTAGTAAATTTGCAAATAGATACCAAACTGGGACCCCCTTTAAGAATTCTGGAGAGCAGAAATCCAGTTCAGCATGAACTGGCCTCGGTGGGGTCAGTGGCATCAGCACACGGCTCTGAAGTTTTCACATGGCCTCATTTTTCTTGCATCTGAGGATGCAACTTTAGTTTCTCTTGTTCTCTTGATTTCAAATACTGAATCCAATTCAACATGTCATGGAGCTTCAAAACACTTGGCCTACAGCCTCCTGTGTTGTCTTAAATGAAATGCCTGAATCTGATGTTAGGACTTAATGCAACGTGTCAGTTTTGATGCTGTTACCAACACTGAAATAAAATTGTGTATTTCTCCCACTGTTGGAACAGACCCAGAGCTGCAGCATGCTGGAACTCACTTTGTACCTTGGGTAGTGTTTAAACCACCAATGAACATGAGTTTTATGTTGTACGACGTTGTGAAGTGAACTGTAAAAACCAAAGAGCCATGGCTACCACAGGCATTGTAAATTCCAAGGAAGAGGTGGGAAGGCTAAATAAATATGTACCAATATCTTAAGAGCTGTAGTTAGTCACTAGGGCTCAAGCGTTAGAGCCTATTGCTGAGTGTTATGTACAATAAGTTAAATAAGAACAAGAGTGTTCAGAGAGTGTTTTAATAATAAACATTTCTATATGGCCTTATTCCGTGTTAGAGCTCCCTGAGCCTACATGATCATGGAAACAGAGTGATTTAGGATGGAAAAGGCCTTTAAAATGATTGAGCTCAATTGTAAACCTAATACTGCCAAGTCCACTACTAAACCATGTCCCCAAGTGCCACATCTACATGTCTTCTAAATACCTCCAGAGATGGTGATTCAACCACTTCCCTGGGCAGCCTGTTCCAATGCTTGGCAATCCTTTCTGTGAAGAATTTTTTCCTAATATCCAACATAAACCTCCCCTGGCATAACTTGAGGCCTTGTCCTCGTCCTATTGCCTGTGACTTGGGAGAAGAGACTGATTCCCACCTCGCTACATCCTCCTTTCAGGTAGTTGTACAGGGTGATAAGGTCTCCCCTCAGCTCCCTTTTCGCCAGTGTGATGACTGGATCATTCTTTCTGTAGATACTCAAAATGGTCAGTCTTCTTTGACAGTATCACAGCTTTGCCACGATGATGGCAAAATTGGTTACACAGTCCAAATTAACTAACTTTGGAAAAGTAGGCGGGATGAGAATTGATTCCAGGCTGATGACTTTTCAGGATGATGTTAACTGATAAAACGGACCTACTACTGATACTGAAAGAGGCAGAAATGCATTGGGGAATCTTGGGACGTTACACATTTTAAATCAGGAATACCACTGCCTGCAGTCTGCCCACATGTAGCTGTTTCTGGTGGTTGTCCCAGCACAGGTGGCTTCAGGGTTGTCTTCAGGCCATACTCAGACTAGATCAGGGGCTGGCCTATAGGCTGGAACACAGCTGTTTGTTGCTGCTGCAAAGATTTGTTTTTTTAATCTGTCCTTTACCCCTGGTCTAGGTGTTTGTTTTGTGTGGGTTTTTTGTTTTGGTTATTTATTTATTTATTTATTATCTTTTCTTTCTTTTAATTCGCGTTGTGAGTTTTGTGTTTTGGATTACTGTACTGAGGTCCTTCCCTCGAACCACATGGAGATACGTTGTTAGGCAAGAACAGCTGAAACCTCTATAGCATTTTGTTCCTATCTGAATCGAGGAAGTTGTTTTCATGGCGTGACCCTGGCTTCAAACAGTAGCTCCAAGGGTTCAGATCTCTGTAGGGCCAACTTGTAGAACATCAGATCAAGCATGCTCCAGCGCGATTTCCAGATGCCTAACACACTAGGAGGAGCCGTGCTTACCCTTGTGATTTGAAGTACAGCAATTGCCCTTAGGTGGAAAACCTAAGGCAGACCACAAAACCAGTATTGTTCTGGCTGTGGTTTTTTGATAAGGCATAGAGGGAGCGCAGCCTGCCAGCTGATGGAGGGTGAGGACTGGTGTTTGCTATGTGGGGAAAGATGACGAGGTCCATGTAAGTATGGTGCTGCCAAGACTGACAAGCAAAGTCTAGTTGCAGGTGAGGAGGAGCATTTTGCTGGCCTGGGGAACTTAAAAAGCTGTGCTAATGGCTGCTCTCTGTGTGAACTGGTGGGCCCCTTTGGGTCCTCAGGATGGTTCCCAGAGGTTGATTTGGCCATTACAACATGAAGATGTTGCTTTTTATTCAGGCAGTGCAGCTGTATCGCTGGTCTTGGTCCGTATACTCCAGGGGTAGAATTTAGGCCTTCAAATCATGGAATTGTTGGAGTTGGAAGGGACCTTCTAGAGGTCATCTAGTCCAACTCCCCTGCCAGAGCAGCATTGCCTATAGCACGTTATTCAGGACTGCATCCAGGCGGGTCCCTGAATGAGGGCATCACCAGATAACAGAAAGAAGCATGCTTTTTTTTTTTGTTTTGCATGCTTTTTTTTTCTCTTCCTTTTTCCATAATTACAAGTTGGTTCTGTTGTGGAATAGAGACAGCCCCCTTACCTAGGTTTCAGTATAAAAAGGAGCATGTAGTTATTGGAGTCAGAAGGCCTTTTTCATTCATTCTTCTGTCATCAACTCATAAAATTCGCATAATCAGAAAAGTGGCTTTCGCTGGCAATTACATAAGCAAAGTAAGTGTGACAGGAAAGATGAGATGTGATCTCTTAAGTTACAGCAGGGTGAAAAGAACATTTTGGTAGGACAGAAACCTTTATGGAGGATTTGCATCGCCAAAAGTAAAACAAGAAAGTAAGGACCACAGGAGCAGTTGTTCATATATTGCGCTGTGGAGCCCTATGGCCAGAAGTTGGCCAAAGGTGGTGAATTTACCTCTGAATTTGGACTTCTGAACGTTCTTTTTTCTTCTCGAATGTTTTGTGACCTGTTAGGAAAGTTGTATTACACTGTCATGGTAACACAGTTGTAATTTTTCAGTACTAAAACAAATACTGTCTTTATGCTTTTGAGACTTAACATAATAGTGTTTAGTTTATGACCACTTTTGTAATTTGAAGTCTGTTTTAGAGCTCAAATACTTTTGCATTGATGATCCACAACATTAATTAAAAATATTTACTCAATTTCCAACTTTCAAAAGTTATGTAATTAAAAAAATGGACCTATTCTTTCTAAAAATATTTTGAAAGCAGCAACTAAAATATAAGTTGTAGTCTGAACAATCCGTGTTTTTAAATTGAGCATAGTTTTAGCAGGATAATGGGAATAATATTTGAACTGTGAAATGTTTTGAATTTAGTCTTTGACTTTATTTTTTGAGCTGCCTGATTGTAAATATAATCCTTAAGCTGTTATTATATCTCTGAAAACTGAGGGAAAGTTTTTTTCATTCAGGCTACTTTAATTTGTTTGCGTAGACTGGATTTTATACTGTAGCTGTGTTGTAGCATATTTTCATTGATTAAAGATGGAAAGAACACCTTTCAGTTTGTTACTGACTCTCTGTAGGTATTCTTGCCTCTTTTATTAGCTTTTATTTCACGGTAAAGTGAAAATGGAAGAATTAAGATGGTATCATGCTTTCTTGTAAATCCATTCCAACTGTTTCACTAGTACTGATTTTCTTACAGGAATAAAACTGGTAGCTTAAAACTACTTCAATTCTCAGTATCGCAGTTCAGAAATGGCGATGACGTGCTAGCCAATGTGTTTTAATACTATTTGGGTGGTAGTATTAAATCTACCTGTGTGTTCGGTGTTCGTGTTTCCTTCCTTTTATATCGGAGTGTAAATCTTTCCTATGCCGAAGAGGTCCAAGTACAGTAGCTCATAAAATTAGATGCGTGTTGTGAAATGGAGCGTGCATCTCGGATAGTTTCTTTTCTTGGTTTTGGTTTAGGTTAACAGAAGTATCTTTACATCTGCAGTTTCTGGAAATTTAAGAACACTCTGAACCTCTGGCCGATAAAAATTTTCCCATTATGTAAAACATTCTTGCAGATTAGCTTGACTCACTAAGTGGTGGCAGTGGTGACTTCCTCCATGAAGTAAACAGACTTTTGCAATGAATTTTCTAGTGAACTAGTAAATCTCAGTGCAGCTTTTTTGATTTGCCGTAGTTTGGTATGGTTTTGTGCAACCTTAACCTACTATTTGTCTTTTCTGCCTTCAGGCTTGTGAGAATTGTTTCTGTATATTAATAGGAGATACTTGAAACCGACTTTACTTGTTTGTTTCCCAGCAGGAGAGCCTGAGTGCTTAGGCTTTAACTGAATCAAGACCAGCTCTCAGCAGTGGGAGACAATATATTAATCCATTGGAAGCACAGACTGCTGTCTTGTGTATCACTGTGGTTTGTGTTGTGAATTTTTTTCATGTAAAAAGGTAGGTAGCAACAATTCTTCTGCTGTATATATTTTTGTAATGTCTACATTTAGAAACCTCATGACAGTGATGTGAGCTGGGGTTTTTTGTTGGGTGGTTTTGGTTTTGTTTTTTTTTTTTTTTTGGTAGAAGTAGTATTTGTATCATTGCATGAAACTGTAAAGTACCTTGTTCCCCTCCGTGTTTTCACATCTTTAAGTTGATGGTATTAATTTTACAAATCATCTTCAGTGCTTGGACTTGCTTTAGTTATGAATGAGGATGATACCTCAGAAGTCAAACAAGTTTCATTCTTATTTCTGTAAGTAAACCCACTTATAGCCTTGATCTGCCTTGTTCTGTTTCTTCCACACAATCAGAATGGACTATTTAGCAAGTTGGAATGGACTATTAAGCTTGATGGAATTAAGTTGCCTGGTAGTATATGGAGGCTTGTTTATTTGTAAAGTTTTGGCTTGTTTTATCAGTTCTGTTGTATTTGCAAGGAAGGTAAGCAAATTATTATCTCCATTTCACTAAACATCCGAGAAAAAGATTTTTATTTTTATTTTTTTATTTCGAATAGCTTAAAAGTATGTGTAGAACTCATAGGTGGCAGCCAGCTTCCTTAGTCAGCCACAGTATAATTTGGGAAACTACACTATACCTTAGTTGCAAGAGGAGAAAACATCCTGAATCTTTTAGAACTATACTTTAAATGTGTTTGAGGTTATGCTTTCCTTCCTTGGTCCACTCTACTTTTTCTGGAGTTGGAAAAAAAATGATGCTTCTACAAAAAAAGTTGGTAGTCCTGTTTGCCTTCAGTTTAAACTGTAAATTAAGAATGAATAAAAACGTGCTTCTCAGCTTCTTGACATGAACATAGGAAATTCCTTGATTCTTCAGGTGAACAATAAGGGTTGGGTCTTTGGAGAGCAGGTGATGCTCTGGGACTACTCTGTGGCCTGTCCCTCACAGCAGGTGCAGATCTATAAAGCTGGAAGGTAGAGAAGCTCTTTCAAAATTTTGTGTGGAAAGGGGGCTAAAAATAAGTTTTTTTGCTACAATAACACTAGACAATACATTAGGCATTATGTCCAAGACCATCTTACGAGTAATAAATTATGTGGCTTAATGATGCTGTTTATACACAGAAGTTCAAAGATTGTCCCAAAGATTTTTTTTGTAGGTTCCTGTGGCAGTATAACAAGTCCTTTCTGGACTGGGATCTAGATGTAGCACCTGAAGGGTGCAGGAGCAGGGAATAGTTTGCTGGAATGGTTGGGTACTATCTTGGCATTTTGTCACTTTTGCCCTCCCATCAAGAATATAGGGGACCTTGAACAATTTACAAAGCAGAATCACTATCTTTCTGTAAGATTTTATTCTAGCTTAGTGCTAGGTAGTTTTTTCCCTAATAAATGCTGTGTGCATCCTTGATAGTGTGTGAATCCCAGCCAGGAAGCAACTAGGCTGCATGTGACTGTCCTTGGGTCATTCTAAGTGTCCCGAAGCAAAACAGGTTAAAAGTATCATTAAGGTGCTACTTTTAGACTAACTGCAGAAACTGAAAAATATTTGAAGATCTTATTTTACCATTTATGTTCTCTTTTTAGGGGAAAGGGATGGTTTTGGTCCTCCTTGCCCCCAGCTTCACCAAGATATAATTATGTGTTTGTGTTCCTTATTTCTAGTTATTTTTTCACGTTTGGCAGTTCCCAGCTTAAGACTGAAGTCCTCTTATACAAGGTAATATGTATACAAGTATGTGAAGAGATGGGAACTTGGTAGGTGTCAGGTAAGATCAGAGAAAGGAGGCATTATATTTGTTCCTCAACAAAGGAGAACAGAAATGTACAAAGTGCTCTAAGTGACGCAGAAAGTCTCCAATAGCTCTTCTGGTATTTTTTTTTCCTGTTTCAAAGCTAACGGGCCTTTCCCCTTTTCAAATCCATTATCATATTTTTTTAAAAGTGGTGTGTGGTGTTTGGTCTACAAACCAAGGAAAAGATTTGAAATTGAGGATGATCTTTAGTGTTAAATAAATTAACTTTAGTAGAAACAAGCTTAAAATAAAACTAACTAAAACTTTGCTTGGGAGCCTGAACTGAGTATATGTTGTCCATTACAGGAATTTCAATTTTAACTAAGCCATTTTAGAAAAGAAAAAAAATGTAATACTGCTGTTTTAATGCATGGAAACTCAGGAACCCCTGTGAAGAGTAAGGAAAGGATTTATGCACAGCTGTGAGAGATTATTCTTTCTCCCCTCTGTGGGTAGGGGAGTGGGCAGCAGAGATGTGCATTGTATCTATGGGTTATATTGCCCGTTACCTTCCCTTTAAAAGACCAACACAAACCTTGTTGAAATACTCCACTAAAAGCAACCAACTCTTTCATTTCTGTGAGCCCAAACTGAAAAGGATGCATCCAGCTCCAAACTCTCCCATTTCCCTTCTGCTTATCCCCCTGTAACATGTGGTGAATGCTGGCTCCTGCCCCTTCTCCTGGGGGGCTGCAGCAGAAGGTAGGGAGGTGCTGAGGAGCTGCTGGAGGTTTCTGAGCTTTCCACGTCACTGTCAGCATGTGTTCAGCCCTGCCTGATGCTCCAGAGAAGATGGGATCCTGCCCCAAGGAGAGCGTGGATCTCAAGGAATAATAGGTTGCTGATGACAGGCAGCTGGGCTGCTCTGGGCTAAAAGAGCTGGCCTTGAGCCTTGGTCTGCAGGATGCAGAGGGAAAGAAGGGCTGGAAAGCAGTGATGAGCCTATTGTGGCAAATGAGCCAACAACTGGCTGATTGACACTGTGAGCCCATCGTCGCTCCCTTTGCTCTTAGATGCAGCTGTGGAGAATGAAGAAGTTGAGGGTGTGGGGGGAAGAAGAAAAAAAAAAAGGATAAATCAGATTTCTAGTGTCCAAAGAGGCAAAGGTCATAAATTAAAACCGCATAAATTCCATCTGAATGCAGGAAAATCTTTTTTCCTGCATGGGTGCTCCAACACTGTAACAGGTTCAGGGTGTTTGTAGAGTTGCTCTCTGTTGGAGCTACTCAGAACATGATGGGACACCGTTCTGGGCAGCTGGCTCTAGCTGACCCTGCTTGTGAAGAGGGGGGGTCGGACTAGATGATCTCCAGATGTCCCTTCTGACCTCAACTGTTCTGTGAAAGCTTCGTTAATATTTGGATGTATTCTTTAGCTGCTGTTGTGGAACACTTGGGAAATAATTACAAATGCTCCTGCTGGGCATTTGTCTCACAAATGCCGCTGCTGTGTAATCATGGCAGTTTTAATTGTATAGGGAAAGCATCCAAGTGTTAAAATAGTTAATTGACTAAACTCTCCGATTTAAGCAGAAAAAGCAAAAAAAACCCTACCAGCACCACCAACCCAAAACTCCCCCCAAGACCCCAAACCACCCCAGAGCTTAAAAGACTTTTTTTTTTTTTTTTAGTGTTTTAACCTCATAAAAATGGCAATAAAAAGTAACTTTAATATAATTTATATGAAGTCACTAAACATAAGAAACAAAAATATAAAAAGTAGTTGGTTCCCCTCCCTTCCAAGTCCCTGTATTTTTGCCATAATGGAAAATCTAAAACACTGTATGAAAAAGGAAGGAAAAGTGCAGGAAGAGAAGAGGAACAGGAGAGAGAATCCTAGAGATCTCACCAAACTCTGTCGTTTATTCCTTTAAGCTCACATCTGATTAAGACGTGAGATGATTTGAACAAACTTTACTGCAACTATTTTTCTTTCCCGGGCTCTTCCAGCCCTCCCCCAGCCCTCTGCGTTTTGCGTAGCCCTCAGAAAGACTGCAGTGCAGTAATTGGGAAGGAGGGAATTGCTGGGAGGGAAAATCAAGCTATGGTGGCCCCTCTTGCAGCGTTGCGTGGCTGAGATCTGCATTTTGGAAGAGGAGGTGATGAACAGCTGCCTCCAGGTTCTGAACTGGCTGATCGGAGTGCCTGCAAAAAAAAAAAAAAAAAAGCTGTGGATAAGTTTTCATTAAGTGTCCCTGGTGTGTGTGTGGCGTGCCAGACAGCCTGTGAGTTTATTGATGAAGCTGTTGGTCTTTGATATGAAACGCTTGCAGTTTCTGCCTAATACTTTGTTTTTTAATCCTCTGTGCTCAGACAGTGGAGAATAAGGTAAGGTACTTTTTGTTGCCTAACATATGAAGGATAATAGAAGTAATTTCTGCATGTTGTAGCATGCAACAGTAACTGTGTTTTGTTGGAAAGTGAAAATTTGATTACTTTCATATTGCTTGTATCTCACTGAAATCCATTGTAATAAATTCCCTGAATTATCAAGTATATTAAAGTTGACAAACAGTTACTTGTATTTGCTATATATTAAGAGATTTTTTGGAGTCAGTTTTCACTTCAGTTATTCAATATAATATGGAATTGTTTTCAAGAACAATGGTCTGGGGGTGTTCCTCTTTTGATGTTAATCTTAAGAGCTAAAACCCCAATCATTTTCTATGTCTTATCCATGTCTTTGGATGATTTTTTTTTTTTAATGCTGGAATTTCAAAGGTATAGCACAGTTATAATGCTGCTGTTTAGCTGTGGAGTGTACTTGTTAGTAAGAATGAAACTTTGGAGGTGCCTGAATTCTCTGTGAATCAGAAGGGGTTGGTTGCTGTGTCAGGAGAGAAAGGAGAGGCACAAAAATCCCTGCACTAAATTCAGCTTTACAGCTAAGAATATGAGTGGAGAGTGACCAGGGCAATCATAATTGGTGTACAAACTCAAGATGGGAGCTTAAAAGAGCTTTAGAACTTAAATTTCATTCTGAGTTACTATATAAATGTTTAGTACAGAAATTCATACTTCATTCACAGAATCTGTAAGAATTACGGGCCGATTTGCAATGTGTATGCTATTTTGGTGGGGAAAGTGGTGTACGGTTGCAGATCTCCTTTTCTTATGACTAAGAGTTTATTCCTGTAGTTTTCTATAAATCTCAGTGCTGGGCTATTTTTCCAGCTACTGTCTTTCTAGAATGGGCCAGATTGGGTTTTCCTTGGCCAGTTTGTTTCTTTTGCCCAGTCTGTGATCACTCTTTACCCTGTAACTTAATATGGTTGTGGTCCAAAGTAGCCTGGCTGCTACTTTGGAGCAGGAGCCTTTCTTTTCCCCTGAGGACCAAAGGTGAATTGTAGCAGGTGACAAAGATTAAAAAAAAAAATCAGCCACAAAAAATCCCCTATTTATTGCTGTGGAAGTTTGTGGCATTTCTTCTGAGGAAATGTTTTGTTGGTCTGGCGTTACAAAGTGGCTTCCTCTAGAGATGATAGAAGAATGAGATCCCAGTGTGTTTAGTGGCAGGTATGCAGTTCTGTGCCTCTTTGAACCTCCCTGACCAGCTCCCTGTAACCGCTGAGGCCGATCCATCTTCACAGCATCCTCTGCAGGATGACAGCTGGGAACACGCTGCCCAGGTGGGCCCTTGGTGCCTCTCTGCTTAGTGTCATCTGGGAACGCCGCTGCTCCGGCGCCACGGAATAGCTCCTCACATCTGCCAGAGTTCACGGGCGCCGCTGGGCTCTGTGGTAGGTGGATGGAAACTTCGTCGACAAGAGTTGAGAAACTAAAATCCTTGCAAAAGTGTGCTTTGGCTGTATATATATTTTTTAAATGATCAGGTGAGGTTACTGCAACGTGGTCACAAAATGTTGTCCTTTGAGTACTTATCCATGAGAGAGACAGTGGGGACTTCAGTGTACTGGTGGCCTGGGCATTGCTGTAGCATTTGTTGCATCTAAACTTCACTAAAATGCATGTAGATAGAGATTTGTATTAATTATGCATTCAGGCTCTTTTCTTCTTTTTCTCTGTGCCTGTTAAAATTCCAGGATCAAAAATCTTCCCCAAACCAGGTTGCTTTCTTCTGATGATCTGTTTGAATATTGTCACAGGGTGTGTGGGCTTTAGTTGTTTGGGGTTTTATTTTTTTTGAGACCACTCTACAGAACAATTAGTTACTTTCCCGGAATTTAGCTGATGTTTCCAAATGGAATTTAACAGACTGTTACCAAGAAAATGGCACTGCTCTGAAGGTTTTGTACAGTCTGTAATGACACGTGATGTATCTGATAGGAAGTTTGTGTGTGCGTGAGGGCAGGATAAATTAGCTGTGACTTTTACTCTGTGCATGTCCTTCTATAATATTTTGTTGAGAGTCCTTTGAGAGCACTAGTGGATGAGAGGAAAACAATGATTTTAAAAATCATATGTTGGTATGTTACCTATAATGTTCTTTATGTTATTTTTAAAACTTATCATTGAAAACTAGTTTGATACTTTCTCAGTTTCATTAAACTATCTTTCCAGATGCTGAGAAGCCTGTTAAAGATTTTTTTGAATGAAGGTAACATAACTTAAACTTTTCTTTCTTTAGGGCAAAGAAAGAAACCGGGCAGACTATAGCAAAGCTTCCTTTATTGGCAAGAGTAAAGAGAACTCTAACAGAGCATTGAGAAAACCTATTCTCCTTTCTCCTCAAGCTGCCGATCACATGAGATTCAGATAAAACGAAGGAAATGTAAGCAATCAAAGAGCCTTCCAAATTTGGGGGAAGGGAGGGGTGTTAGTGTGTGAAGACAAGTGTTTTCTTTGATCAAGAAAACTGTTGCATGAACTTTGGAAATCAAGAGCTTTTTTAAACTAACAATTCCCCTTTTAATATCGTAGTGTCTTCAGTTGTCTGTCAAGGGGAATTGTTATGTGAGAAGGAGTATGTATAATTTCCAGGCTGATACAGGATTTACCTGGTAGCATATAGCTGGTGAAGAGGTTAGAAGAGGCAGTGAGTAAGAACAAAGGCTGGGCTGGGAAGAAGACAAGAACTATCAAGGATTTTGGCTCTTATGCCGTTCTGACAGCAGCTGGGATACTGATGAGGTATTTAAATGGAAAAAGGTCTTCTAACCTGTTCTTAGGGTGAACCTGTTCTAAAGAGTAGATTCTAAGAAAATATATATATTTTATGGAGTCGCGTTACTGCTAGTTTGGAGACTCACCTTTAGTCTTCCAACACTTGTGACTTGACTTGTGGATTGCTTGAAACTGTACTCGCATCGATGTCAAATTACTTGTGGCTGTGATATGGTAAGATTCTTGATGCTGTAACTTTTTTTTGGCTGCTGGGAAAAATCTCACATTTGATGAGCCTGAAAATTCTGATAGCGTTCGATAAACTTTGAAGGAGAAAAAGTACATCAATCTGTAATTCCAAACAAATCTCTCTCGTAAGTTTCCTGGGCCTTTTGTTTGAGTGCATTACTGAACTGGGCTGTACTCAATCCAGACTTCATGAGTTTGCTAGTTAATGGTTAGGATAAAGCTTAAATTGCTACTATATTTATTAAGGAGTTTATGATTTATTGTTTTTTTCCCCTACTAAAGCATGAATACTTGTATAGAGGGAAACGCTTCACCCAAGTGGTCTTTTTACTGCATTGAAGTAGTTATGACTCACGTGGAATATTTCTCTTCTTACCTGCAATCTCGAACTTCACTTGAAATGTTTGGTTTTAATTCTGCACCTAGTTGTACACGTAACGTTTTCTCCTAGTGTCAAAAATATAATACAAATTTTTGTGAGGGTGGGCATTTATTTTGATGACTTTGGTGTGAAATTCCATGTGCAATGCTTGGTTTCCATTGCAGTGCTGCTATGATGAAAGGTAGATGCCAGGAACATATATTGCAAAAATCTGTGGTGTTGATTTTTATGTTGTGCCTCAAGGTAAAACTGGAATGTGGCAGTGGAAGGCTTGATTTAAAGTGCTGGTCAAAACTGAGCAGATGAGAGGGAAAAGGGGGGCTATATAAAGGATAGTATATGAATACAAAAAGTTTGTATTAATAGAGATAAGCCCTTACTTGTATATTTTATTCAGCTTAGGCTACTTTTTTTAAAATAATGTATCTGGAGATGATTTTTAAAAAATTGGGTGATGACATATCATTAAAGATTTAAAATTTTCATGTGGGAAGAGAGAGAAAATTGGGATTGTTCTCATTCAGCTGAATTTAAGATACTGTGGATTTGCCTTAATTACAGCTGTTGTTGTCCCTCTATCCTCTCTAAGCATGCTAATGAAATCCCTTACTTCAGTGAGACACAGAAGCTGTTTGGATTGATAAGGAAATGTATCCTTGTTTCAAAATGGGATAACCTTCACTTATACTTACTTGCTGACAGCTGTGCTGGTGATAGCTGTGATTAGTAAAACTCTGGTGCAGCCAATACCCAGGAGAATAAATTATAAAAACTTTATAAAGAAAAAATACAGTATGAGTTTATGTATATCTAGTTTAATAATTCTTTTTTTTCCCCCCCCTGAATAACTGTCTTGAAAAGTGGAAGATTAAAAAACAAAAAAAGAAGGAGAAACCAGTTTTTGACACTGTATGATTAACCTACAGAACTCACTGATCTGAGATGTGACTAGGAATTTTCTGCTCTTGGCCTCAAAATAATTGATTCTAGGGTTAGCAGAGGTATGGGAGAAACAGGACTCATGCTTAACAGATGCTTTGGAGCTACCTTTTTTCTTTCTTTTTTTTTTTTTTCTTTTTCCTCCAACTGTTGTATTAGAAAACTTTTAACTGTGTCTATTGAAGGCAAATACTCCTAGGCTTGAGTGAAATGATGACAGGATATCTGTCTGTGCTGTGGGCCATGAGCTCATCACTAGTGTGTTGTAGAGGCTCTTTAATGATGGACAAGAATACCAGGAATTGGATTGTGTTTGGCTTCATGGACATCTGTTACTGCATTTTTGATATATTTTGGGACTGTATGCTATATTGCAGGAAGTGCATTTATATATATTCTTAATTGGATTCAATTTGATGCTTTTTTTGGGAATCTTCTAAACGCAGTGGTATAAGAGCTTCCAGGACAATGTGAAGCAGTTGGAAGAAAAGAGCATTTCACAGTGCATTTATGATGTTAAGTTAGTAGTTCTCCTTATATTGAGGGATTGAGAGCACCTTGACCTCTCTAGCTGTTTGTCTGTAAAATTATACCTAGTGTTTTCAGATCACGAAATGGCTTCATATAGATCATAAAACGCTGGGCTGCACTTTAGTTGGAAAGTATTACGAAATGAAAAATCTCTTATGAGACTAAGAAGGACGGGCAGGTCATTTCTTTTCATCCAGACTTCTGGGAGGATTTAGACTGGTGACAAATCTCACTAGAAGAGTCTAAAAATAATACTTCCTACTGATGTAAAACACTTCAGGCCAGGGATGCTAGAAAAGGTAAGCAATATTATGCTTACAAAGTGGTAAAGTCACGTAGGCATTCAGTACAATTGGTGGAAAAAAATAAATCCAGCCCACTGCTGTAATATTGGAAGCTTTGTTGCCTAACAAGTTTTTTGCAGAAAGCGGGGAATCAGCACCATCCTTTGAATAGTCATTAGTGGTTACAGCATCCTTTATACTCTAATCTTAGGACTTAAGCCCCTTGCTCTAACAGTGAGTGTCCTCTACATACTTTTAAATCTGCCATTTGCTCTAATTGGAAGTTACTCTTTGCATTCTGCATATCTAGACTGTGCCTACATGGATCTTTAATGCAAGCAGATAGTCTTTATCAGCATTAATTCTCCAAGGAATCTCCAAGTATTCTCATTTTAGTTTTTAGTGCAACACCTGGAGGCGTTCAGGTTTGAATTTTCAAAAATAAAAATGCACGTTTAAATGTCGAATTGCCATTAATACATTAAACAAAATTGCTCTACTCAGTATTTATTTGGTAGAGGTGAACACGATTTCATTAATATTAACTAGAGGAGCCCTCTGGCTTTAAGCATACAAAAAGAATTTTCAACTAAAACTGGCAACTTCATATTCCCCATCTGAAGATGGAAATCTTTCCAAGGCCTTGTGCACAGTGTGGAAAGCACCAGTTTTTAACCTGTCTCTTAAGCAGCACCAGTACTGTACGATTCTACCAGACGTTTCTTTGAAAGGCTGCTGTTAAGACTCTATGACAATTTCCTAAGCTTGTTTTTTCCTCCTGAAAACTCAACTTCAGTAATATATGTTCACTAGAGGTGTAGAAACTGGAATGCACTTTAGTGTAACTAGAAATACTAGCACAAGTGTTTTGGTGGTTTGGTTTTTTTGATATTTTTTCTGCTTTTTTTTCTTTCTTCCAGATTCCATTTCTAAATGTGCTTCCATTTAGTTTTTTCCTCTAATAGAAAAGTCTTAATAACAGCCTCTCTCCTCCCTCCACTCCTTCCAAACTTCAAGATGTTGGTCATAGAAAATGCATTATAAACAGTGAAGAATACAGTATGACCACTGAAATCACTGAAGTTAAACTGCCCCATCACCTCATTAAACAAGTGGACAATGTTTTTGTCTTCCCTCATGTTCTGATAAATCATAAAATCCAAGAAAATGATGAGAGAGTTGCCCTTATGCCCTTTTCTCATTTTTCTTCCTGAAAAAAATCAATGATTTTAGACAAAGTTGAAGATGTTGTCTAGAATGGTGGAAAAATTGACTTAAGATTAGTGAGAGGTTGAGATCTGTGGGTGACTGCATGTCTTCCTGGCAGTTTAATGTTAAATACAATATTCTGATGATGTTGCTTGCTGTTGTCAGTCTCTAGAATTTGATTAGTATTTAGGGCAGCATGAAAAAGTAACTCTTCCTTACCTGTGTTTATAATATGCCATGGTTGACTGGATGAAATGGAAGAGCAGGGATGTTTTATGTGGGTGAGTTGGTTTCCATAGGAGACAAGATAGATGATTTTTTTGAACTTGGGATGTAGGCTTAGAAAACTTTATTTGGTTAGAGTGGAAAGAGTTTCTTGTGGAAGTGAGATGTTGCAATCTCAAGTTTTCTGGGATGGCTGTTTCTACTTCCACAGTTCTTCATTTCAACGTTGAATTCAAAAAGTGCAGAGCCACACTTCAAGTTGCATCCTACAGCTTCCTCTATACTCTGCTGTGTTCAGAATTTCCAGGGAGGATTCTCTTGTTAAAGTTGAGCTGCTTTTTAAAATTAGATTAACTTAATATTTTTGGGATTCTTGAGAAGGCAGTTTTCCTGTGATTATTTATAATAAACCTCTTGAAGTGCTTTGGGGTTTTTTTTATTTGATGGTCTCTGACACCTTTGCCTTAAGATACTTTCTTTTAATAATTGCAGAAGATGAGGTAAAGAATTTTAAAACAGGTAGTACCTCTGCTTAGGTTTCAAGGCTGGATTCATTAAGAGTCAGCACAGATGCACTCTGCCAGAAATTGGCAATGCAGAAAGTATTCTTCATGTACTTGCCAGTCAGCAGAGGAGATGGAGAGACTGTGATTTGAAGAATATCTGTTGCTATTCCGCTAGACCTTTGAAATTTCATTAGATTTGAAACTGAGGATCTCTTTGATTAACAGAGTGGAAAAGAATAAAAGAATAGCATCCGTCGATAGGTCTTGGTTTAAAAAAGAAAAAGAAAAAAAAGACTGACAGTAGCTTTAAAAGGCAGCAAGATTTTTTTGATTCCTGCTTGGT